CTGCCTTAGAGGAGCAATGACTCGCACTTCCTATAGAATTAATAGACCGCATAATTGAGAGCATCACGCATCTCTGCATGTGCTATATTGCTTCTCGGGGAGATCATACCCCATATAAAAGGTACTTTTCTCCACCAAACTGACACATCCGATATATATATGCTAATTTCAAAAACACCCTAATTGTCTTGTGATTTCTTTTTATGCTGTTTTATACCTTCCTGTGTGTTGTACAATGTGTATAAATTTCATTAAATTTTACGCATAACTTTTCGAGTTATCGTCATTTATGATAACCATTGTATTTGCACTATATAAATCAAATGCATATTAATAAATTTCAAAAAGAATAATTTAAATAAATAAAAGTGATAACATTCGTCTTTATGGGAGACAGATATATAATTAATTTGTTGCCCTGAACAAACCATCCAACCCCACATATCTGCTCATCTTCATAAACAAACACAATGAAGAATTGCTTGTACACTCTCTAACGCAGACAAATGTTCCTCGCTTCTTCCCATTATGATTATCGCGGTGGAGCAGCCAATAGGAGTCGTAGTACTTAGCACTCACAATAATCCGCCTTTTAGAAAGACTCAGAGATTTACTTCAAGTATATACGAGGAGAATGCATATGAAATGTGTGTCTTGGTTTCTCCAGGGAAACAGTAACGCAGCTATTACTGTTGTGTTTGTTTTCTACGGTTTTAAGTAGGACATCTGTCTTGTTGATATTGTTACCCCCTGAAGAATAGAAAAAATAGATGAAAAAAGTAATAGTTGCCCGTAAATATTTGTTAAAGGCTTCAACTCGAAAGAGAATAAAAAAGGGAAAATAATTACTCTCTCTGCTTGCTTTAATTTTTCTCTAGAGGTATTCTGAAACGTTTTTTTTTCCCCTTTCGTAAGTACTTTTGAAAAAAACCATGTCTTGAGATTTCCTTATTCGTTAATAATTCCTTCTTTTTCCACTTTTTTATGCACAAAACAAAGTATTTCAAAACTAAATTTTCTGAGCTCTTAGAGCTTTTATCAGCTATAGTAGATGACATCAAATGGTAAGATAAGTAAAAGTTTTATTTATAGTGATTTCACCCTATAAGTATTTATATATACTCATGAGTATTCGTAATAAAATCGGAACTTGCGAATATGCTACTTACTTTTCAAGTAAGAAATCATGTTTTTAAACATTTCTAAATAAAATAATTACAAACATTTGTGAGTCATAAATATTTATATTATAATATATTATATATATATATATATACATTTCAGAATTTTTCTTTGCTAAAGGAGAAAATGCAAGCCAGGCAGCTGAAACTGTGGATGGTGTTTATGGTTTCGATACTGTAACAGCCAATTGTGTGCAATTTGGGTTCCGTCAATTCCCTTCAGGTTTGCCAATCGTTGAAAATCCCGATGAGTGAGTGAGTATTAACGTCGCCCAATTCAGCTACACGAGGGCTTTCGGCGACAGACCGCGTAATTTTGAGCCATGGTCAAGTGACTAGGAAGACACCTGAGCTAGCACTCCCCTCTCCTAACTTCCGCACCACACCAACGGGAGGACGTTTGAGCCTAAACAGATTTAACGTGCGTCAGCCCCTTTTCACGGCGAGTCTTCAGTCGAAAAAGGCTTGAACTCATGACATTCCAGTCACAAGCCCGTGACCTTGACCACTAAGCTATCTCAACCACTGAAAATGCTGATAAAATCGCAAAAATAATCGTTGACTGGCATGTTAGTAGTCGTAGCATCGCCTAAGAGCTAAAGATCGACCATAAAACAGTTTTTAACGATTTGCACAAAGCTGGATTTAAAAAAAGATTGATGCTTGGGTGCCACACTAATTAACTTAAAAGAACATGATCAATCGAATTTTCATCTGCGAAGCCTTGGCCAAACGGAATGAAATCAGCCCATTTCTTAAGTGGATGTTAAATAGGGATGAGAAATGGGTCACATACGACAACACTGTGCGAAAAGTATTACGAAAATTGACGATCGAAAGTTTAAGAACCGCTAAATTTGGCAACTAAGATAAAAAAAAATAATATTAATAAAAAATTCATATTTATTCCTTTGTACCAAAATGTGTTTGTAAATAAAACAATTATGAACTGCTTTTTACTCAAATTCATTAAATTTAAAAAATTATTTAACTATTGAGAGTATTTTTTTAATACTCTAAAAAAAATCATAGGTTTTTCAAAATAAAAATTAAAATTCTAAATCAAAATTTAACAAGAGCTTAGGTTCAAATAATTAAAAAAACATTTTTTTTACTCATTATTTTCTCGGTTTTATGTTGTTAAGCAATGTCTGTTTAAACTCTGCACAATTCATGAACTCGTTTTTATTTTAGATGTTATACAGACAAGACTAAATACTCCATAAATGAAAATATTAAGGTCAACTCCTTATTCAGAGCATAAATTTTTATTAAAATGTGAATTAAAGTTTTTAGGTCTATGTTGGACTATCAATTTATAAATTAATGCTTTGAGATTATAATATTTAAGGTGTTCGAAAAATATGACTATATTTTCAAAAATTAATTAAAAATAAACGAAGATTATCACTTATGGTCTTTTAGGGTCCTTAAAGAAAAGATGAAAGTTCCTGTTTAATTAAATGAAAATTAGGTATCGCAATGTGACCATTTTTAAACATTATCGTTTCAAAATGGCTTCACTGCAAGAACAAGTGCAATTTGTAGCACGGTTTATCAAATTTTAATCTGCAACACATATAAACAACTTAAATAAAACTCCACCACGCTAAAATTTGGAAAATAGCAAAAGTTCCCCAGGCGATAGATGGAAAGAGGAAATCCAATAACGTCGTGACCACTAGGGTTTCTGATTTTTCGATCTTTTGCCATTTCCGGAAAATCCCGGAAACTTAACAGACATTGTTTTTTTTTTCTTTTTTTCAGCAAGCTGGAAAAATTCTCACCAACTTTGTAGGCGTTGTGTGCACATTTTCTTATTATACTTTCACCTTCTACTGGAGGTGGAACAAGGAACATTTCTCACTTCGAGGAATTCGGTACCCTTGATCACCAACTGCAACAGTGCAGTCAGCTAAAATTTATATCAGAAGTCAAAATTCACACAGTCGAGTCAAAAATAGTTACCTCAATGTTTCAGCCACATGTCATTCCAGGGAACCAAGTAAGATTCCAGGAAATAAAATAAATATGAAAATCTTTAATTTTCCAGAAACCCGCGGGTTCCCGGAAAGAAGCCGGCACCTCGATCTTTAGTCATAACATTTTTGGATTTCTTCTTATAGGAATACGTGAAAAAAATTGTTTACCAATTAAGTGGCAATGATGACATGTGTAACGGGTCTATTCATGTTCTTCTTACTAATAGTCCTCTTGGGGAAAAAGGGTCTTTAAAATTGATTCTATTGAAAGCCTTCCTCCGAAGAAGTTGTGATTGTGTAAATTAAGACTTGTATATAAAGATTAAACTTTCGAGTTAAGAAAGAGAGAGGTTAGACTTCGAACGGATAGCAGTGATTGATTAGCGTGAAGCTAGGCAAGAGAACTTCGTTACTTATTTGATTAATATTAAGGTTGACAATTTGGTCAATTAAGCGTTAAATTTGGATTAGAACGAATTGAATTAGAAGGCCTATTGATTCGACGTAAGTGATCCAATTTTCTGTAAATTCTCTTTAATATCTCGTCTACCCCGTAATTGTTTCACATATTTAGTAAGTGGTGCATTTCTTAGTTGGAGTTGTTGAATTTGTGTCGTAATTGAGAATTGAATTTGTATTTACTATGAATTTGTATTTAATATGAATTTGTATTTACTATGAATTTGTATTTAATATGAATTTGTATTTACTATGAATTTGTATTTACTATTACAGAATTTGTATTTACTATGGCTTATCTTCCTTCAGACACTCTCATACTAGGCTATCTAGGATTGACTAGGGCTATCACTTACGCGTGAAAAGTTGTATTACAGTGGCCATTCAGATTGTTGACTCCGCAATGCTTCATAGAACGTGGCTAAAAATCTCGTATAGACTCGATGTGTTGCGTGCAACTAATGGTGCACACGTTGAAATCGTACAATAAAACATTGTAAAAAAAATTGATACTTTCTTTAAGGAACAAGAAAAATGCATGTGAATATCTTTATTTGTTTCTTGTAATTAATATTTGAAAGTGTAATCATACTTTTCGCACACCCGGTACAACATTTTGCGTTTTACTGAAATTGCATTACAATAATACACATAGTTTTAAAAGAATAGTGTGTAAATATGCTTATACGAGCTTATTTAAATTTTCCAATGTTAGGTTTTACAAAAATTTTATTTACTAAATTTCTGCAACAACTGGCATATGGAATAAGTATATAATGCGAATCTTGTATATTTTTAAAAAATCTACTACTTATAAGATTTCAAACTTTTTTTCGATAAAAATGAACTGTTAGAATGAATCTAAAACTATAAAATTGCTTTACTGTAGTGGTCTTCAAACTTTTTCGACTCACGGAACCCTTAGAACTATAAGATGATTTCAGGGAACCTCAATCCCTGCACTCACTTAAAAGAATATATCTTAAAATAATATTTTTAAGTAGATCACAACGTGTTATAGGTACTTTATATAATTGCAATTAAAAAAGTATTGTATCTGTTACTAAAAGAAATTTCAATTTAATTTCAATTCTTACTATTAGTTCACTCTCTCCCTATATACATAAATATATATCTATATATATTTATTATATATCTTGTTTATATATATATATAAATTTTCCATCGTTAATAAAATACTTTCTATTAATCCATTCAATTTCAAATAGATTTTTTTTAAACTTGTAGCGGATGACACTTGATGTTATTACAGTTTTTTCAAATATTAATTTATTAATTAAATTTAAAAAAGGAATAAAGAGTAACAAACAAAAATAATAAGCCAACAGCATATATAGAAAGGAAAATTGCTTGTTGTGTCCTTAAGAGCAAGGAATAGCGCGTTGGACTTCTAATCCAAAGGTCGTGGGTTTGAAGCACACATGGGATGGCCTACTTTCTGCGAATGTGATTTTTTTCTATACTATTTTATTAGAATAATTAAATTTAGTTAATGAATAAATAGTAACAAACAAAAAAATAGTCCAACACCATACATAGAAAGGAAAATGGAAAATTGCAAGGAAAATCGCTATCTATTTTGTCGCTTAATATTGTGATTCTGTCCTATGTATATACATATTTATATTTTAATTGTAACTATTTAATAAAAAAAGTAACTAAAATAAAAATTTTCTTTATTGACCTAAGTAGGAATTGACTTGATTTTTTATATTACTTGTGTTTAATATATATATAATTTACTCAATTAACAATATTAGTTTGTGATCGAAGTGACCAAGGCCGGATATACCTATGGGCTTAATGGGCTGCACCTAGGGCCCCCGGGTTCTAGGGGCCCCCGTTTGCCGTTGAAGATAACAAACAGAAAATGATGCTTACAATCAAAATAGTAATAAAATAAAAAAACCAGTAAAAAATTTTCAAATTAAAAATAAAATGTCCGAAATACCATATCAAACTTATTTTTATTTTCGAGAGCAAGAGCAATTTACTTTTGTTCTTCCGCCCTACCACCGAATACGTGGAAATTATTAGACAGAGGCTGTATCATAAAGCGGTGCCGACGAGCATCGAGCATATATACAAACGTAGTGGTACTATTTCTGTAGCTATTTATTTTTGTGAAATAATAATTCTAAGTTACAATAACTTACTGATTTGGTACTGTGTCCTGTGCATAGTACCTGAAATAAAAAGCAAGTACCAATACACATTTCTAAATTATTTTAGTAGGAAGATATTGAAATTATGATTAAGTATTTTCTGTATTTTCAATTTTTCAAATATTAAAATTTCAGGATTTTCCATAAATATGTATGTTGTCTTAAAATTTGTGATGAGTAACCAGTGTCGGATTGAATGACATGGAGGCCCCTTGGCAGTCGAATTCTCGGGGCCCTGTAGACTGTTTTTGGAGCACTAACAGAAAACAGAACACACTCCTGTGGGCCCCTAAAAAGCGTGGGGCCCATAGGCAATTTCCTACTCCGCCTAATGAGTAAGTAATCCGGCACTGTGAGAAACTTAATTACTTCTATGGGAAGGGGGAAAATAACAATCATTTTATGTGGATTATGGAGATGTCCCTCGAATATTATGGATAAAAGAAAAGTGGTCTTGATATTCGTAATAAATCTTTTTTAAGTATAGGTACAACAGAAAATAATGGATGACAACGGAAAAACAATATTTATTTAAAGTGGGGCGAATAATTTAAAAGTTTTATTTTATAAAAACCACTTTTTAAACTGAAGGGCCAATAAATAATAATAATCAGTGATTTAAGTTTTAGCGAATATAGACAATGATTTTTTTTTAAATTAACTAGGTACTTTTTTTTAACTATCTCAGATATATACCATATTGTTATGTAAAAATTTGAAAAGAAAAGAACATTTTTTTAAAAAAAATATTTTTAGTTTATTAAACACAGTCGGTTGTGTTATCATAATTTTATGACCTAAACTTTTAAATTTATTTTCAGGAAAATCAAGTCCTTAGTTATCAATACAAATATGTCTGACAGAAAATATAAACGTGAAGCGGAACAACGAAAATTTCTGTTAAATCGAGAGAAAAAATAATTAAATTTGTCAAAATTTCAATTTTATTTCCAATGGAACAAAGTAACAAGAATATAACAAGAGCAGATACATTAACAAGCGAAAGGCAAAGGAATTCAGCCAAAGAAAACGGACAAACAACATTAATGATGAAAATATGCAAGATCTCGATGCCCGCAGCCTTTTGAAAAAGATAATGTTCAGCCAGAGGACATCAGTAATGCCCCGACCGAAAAGTGTTTAGAAATTTTAGGTTTGAGTTGAGAAATACGTTGCCGTTGGTTCGTGGCCTAAATCGCTAAGTAATGTTTTTATTAATCAGATTCTTTCACATGAAATGAGTTATTTTCAAAATAGAGATCTAAACAATATATGTTCTGTTTCGGTAAGAAAACACAAAGAACAAAAAAGCGATCATTTTCGAATAATCATTTCCTTAAAAAACTTAAAAATGGCCAAGTGCTGGAAAGATCTTGGCTATGTTATTCAACTAGTATTAGTAGTGTTTTTTGTTTGACCTGCAAACTTTTTCCTAAAACAAATTCTTAATACACAACCAGCTTTTCTGATGGGAAACAAGTAAAAGTTGCTCAGAAAATCATGAAAATTCAATGTTAGTTTGGTTGACATGAAAAGAAAATAAGTCTGTTTTAGATATAAACAGTTACAGGAGCAACTAAGAAAGCATTTAGAATATAACCACAATGTACTCAAATGTGCTATTGCGATAATAAAGGATTTGGCTGTAAGAGACTTAGCATTTAGAAGTACCGATGAAGTTTTTGGTTCTCCTCATAATGGTAATTTTATGGGCGCCCTGGAACTGCTAGCAGAGTTCGACCCATTCGTTCGTGAATATATTGAAGAGCGGGAATTACGAACAAAATCGTTAATATCCTACTTATCAAAAACAATATATGAGCAAATAATTGAGATCATGGGCAAGGAAATCATTAAAACAATTACACCTCAAATAAATAAAGATGACACAAAGTATTATTTAATTGTGAGAGATTCACCACCAGATTTGTCCCACAATGACCAACTTGCAATTGTACTTCGATATTGTTTTCGGGGGAAAGTGTATGAAAGATAAGTCTCATTAATTAAGATTAGTATAATCACACTGTCTTATACTTAATTAATTCTCTACAAGAATTTTAGAAACAAATAGACTGCTATTGGACAATTGTAGGGGACAGTCATTTGACAACTCTGCCACTATGTCCGGTCGATATAATAGCGTGTAAGCTCTTCTAAAAGAAAAAAGTAAATTTGCAAATTATGTGCCGAGTGCCTCCCCATTCTCTTAATCCGGTTGGTGCAGAATCAGTTAAGGTTGCAACTGAAATCGTGAACTTCTTTGGTTTAGTGCAACAAATATATCTTTTCCTTTCTACTTCAACCCGTAGGTTGGAACTCCTAATTCGTAAAATTAAACTGAAATTTAACTTTAAAAGCTTAAGTCAGACCAGATGATCTTGCCACTACGATGCTGTTGAAGCCTTAAAAGATAATTATGGTAATATCATGAATATTCTTAAGACATTTAGTGACACTGAAAATTTGAAAATTGATTTTCGAAGAGGCAGTAAATTTATTAGAAAAATTTACAAAACTCGAAAATACCATTTTAATTATATTTTGGTAAGAAATTTTAGAAAGATTTACAGACTGGCTGGTTTGGACATCTGTGAAGGGAATAAGTCCATGGTATGTCATTAAAAACGTTTATAAGCAATGTACGACATGTGAATCAGATAAAGAACTAAAAGAGCATCAAGACACAGCCAAAAAATTAAGTCCTAGTGTAGAAACAGAATATAGCGACGTGAACAAAAGACGGATTATTTCAAAATTTGCAGATAAATCCACAGAAAAAGCTGCGTATGGAAAAGAAAAACTTAAAACAGACACGCTTATTGTTGCGTATAGATGAGCTAACCCTTGATTTAAATAGAAGAATTCAACTATATGCAAATGTAGTAAGAAATTAAAATTTTTGATGGATTTGCAAGATCAAAGTAAGGATAACGTCGACCTGGAAAGTGTACTCACTATTATTGGTTACTATTCAGATGACGTTAGACCAACATTTAGTAAATGAAAGTGTTCAATTCAAAACTTATCTGAAACAAACTGAGTTAGAGTCCTATACTTGTAGTGATATGTTCAATTTAACTGTTCTTGTTTAAATTCAGATTTGAACATCGAATCTGGTGATATATCGGTAAGTTGTTGCTTCTCCTTTGTTATAGATATCTTCCAAAAGAAAACTATTTAGCTCTGCAAAACCTTGTACTGACGAGTATAAAATTATTTCTTGGAACCCGAGTAGTTAACAAAATATTCAATACCTATTAGGTCGTACATATAAAAAACGTTATTATGTTCTTTTATTATACTATAAAAGTATTAAAAAAATATTACAAAATACAATTATTATCGATAAATAAAATTTTCAGTTTTAATAAATGGTATGAGCTTTAAAGATACCTGTAGTTATATAAACTTCGTAGAGAACGTGAATTCATTTTGCATACACATTTATAATTTCCTTTTCGATTCTTATTGTGACTTGTGGAACTCCAGGGTTCCATGGAACACAGTTTAAAGACCACTAGTTTAACGGATCCAAATTATTAAACGCCCCTTCCAATTTTTTTCCCTCTGAATAGTTGCCAAATATTTTTATGTTTTCTTTAACTGCATCAACTGTTCAGAAAACAAAGTTAAGCTTGTTGCTCTCTAACAACATATTGAAAGAAAGTTCAATCTACTTAATATTTTTTTAATATAAATTCTATCAGAACTTAGGCCAAACGGAATAAATTCTGCAAATAACTTGCAAAATATTTCAATATCGTAAAGTGTCTCCGTTGAATCCAAAACATTTTCTCATTCCGTATCAAACTTTCTCTGACAAGTGTTTCACTCCTGAAGGCGCACTACGAAAAATATCTAAGGAGTTCAATTTTGCGTAACATAAATACTCTACTAGTTTTCAGTTTTCTTTCTTATGCTTTCAGATCAGGCATTTTTTTTGGTTGCGTGGCAGGAGCGGACTACATAACATTTCGTGGGCTGAGCGGACACTTTGAAACTCATCGTGGTTTGAGCAGACACATTTTTCCCCTATCTTAGAACAGATTCGATTACCGAATTACAAGGATAAATACATTTTTGCCAATCAAATTTAATTACTTGTATTAAATTGTTAAGATGTTGTAGTGCGAATACATTTTAAACATAGCGAAAATGTAATAGAAATAAAAATTTCAGAGAAATATTTAAAAATTAATAGTAAATAACAATATAATGAAAGGTATGAACGAATTTCAGGAATTTTGTGAAAAACTGTATT